CTTAATAAAAGCTCCCATAGACTATAGTTGCATTTTATTGTCGGATATGTATTTTGGTACTACTGTTCAGAACAATGCAGAATCACTATGAAACTCGTACGGAAACTGAGATAATATAAACCTAAACAGAGTGGCGGCATGACCGAGTTATTAACGCGTCGAACTAGTAATCCAAAGATTGTTGTCAGCGTTTGTTCAAACCGTGTGGGGCACGCCGTTGTTTCCTTAAGTAAGAAAGTTTACATTCAATGCTTTCCAGGAACGGAATCGAGAAAGTTTCAATAAGCTTATAACTTTCAACACAACCGAACTAAAATATATTTGTTTAAATTCGTAAAACAAAACTAACTTACGCAGGTTTATATTTTTTGTGGTTGCAGACATTTTCTTTGCCGATGGGTGTTACCGAGCAACTTATATCTGGACAAACGGGAGGTGGTTCAGGTATAAATATTCTACATATTAAAAACTTGACAGAGTCAACATTTGGAACGTACACGTGTGCGGCAACAGTCAGCGGATATACAGCAGAACAGTCTCATTTTATTGGAATACTTGCAGGTACTGTTACAACAAAATAAAACAACAAAATCCTCACATAGCGGTGAACCCGTATACAGTTGGCTAAAACCAAATTATTATCAGTACATTTTCACATAATATCAAGAATCTATCATTTCTTTATATATAATTATACATGTATATATAATTCGTTTTTAACGAGTTAGTATTAAGCAGTATGATTTAATAGAAAATAAAGAAGGAATCGATCGAGGATTTCAGATTTAATTTGCTATAAACGATAATTCGTTATAAACGAGTGCGTTGTAAATGGAGTCAACTGTATACAAGTCAAAGATCAATATTGGCCTGCAAAATCAAATGGGCATTCAAATAATATCGTTACCCAAATAAAACCATAACCATTTTAAATACCTCAGACCTACTTATAAATACTGTTGTTTTTTTTCTCATAATCCCCTCCTTTTTTTCCAAGTAGTCTACGACATAATCAATATCTAAATGATGGTATAGATATTTTTGGAACATTTTTTACATCAGCGAAGCCCACTGTGAACATCATTAAACCACCGGTATCTTCAAGTTTTGCTATGCAATGTCAAGTAACTGGATATCCTGCTCCACATATACAATGGGACTTTGTTCCGGAAGCGGTTAGTATATAGTTTGCTCAAATTTTTTCGAGCAATTTTTGTTACTCCCTAAACAAGAGTTGTTTTTCCAATGATATAAAGTTAATTTTTTTACAGGAATCAACATTTCGAATTCGGAATACATTTTTACAAAGATAAGATATTTGTAAATTTCATTTTCAATGGAATATTTGTATGATTCTGCGACACTACAGGTTTCGGGCACTAACAATGACCACATTAGCCGATTAGCCAACATGAACACTTACATGTGTAAGCCTTAAAGTTACGTGAGGATTTTAGTCTATTCGAACCCTGACTACATGCATGGTATCCTTAATTCCAAAAATTTTTGCGATCAACGGAACTGGTAATAAGCATTGCAAAAATTTCTGATTTTAGCATAGTTTGAGTATTACTATCACAAGTTAGTAATTATAGCTAGCTACAAGATAAATATACCTTACCTGCTTGTTCATTATAGCTAGCTACAAGATACACTCACCTCACGTGCTAAATAATTATCTAAATATCGCTAACTACAAGAGACATACACCTCACGTGCTAGTTCATTATAGCTAGCTACAAGATATATACATATACCTCACGTACTAGTTAATTTAATCTAGTTACAAGAAACATATACCTCACGTGCTAGTTAATTATAGCTAGCTACAAGATATATACAGCTCACGTGCAAGTTTATTATCGCTAGCTACAAGATACATAGACCTCACGAGCTAGTTAATTATAGCTATAGCTACAAGATACATACACCTTACATGCTAGTTAATTATATTTAGCTACAAGTTACATATACCTAACGTGCTAGTTAATTATCGCTAGCTACAAGATACATTCACTGCACGTGCTAATTATTTATAGCTAACTACAAGAGACATACACCTCACGTGCTTGTTTATTATAGTTAGCTACATGATACATACACCTCACGTGCTAGCTAATTATACCTTGCTACAAGAAACATACACCTCACGTATTACTTATAGAACTGTTGTGTTCATTTTATCATTGATACAGGCAACTGCACTTACAAAATGTAAAAATTATCAAATGATCAGTAAATAAACATTTATCTTTTTAGAATAACAACCATGGCCTACCGCACGATGTACAAGTCCTGTATGAGACTTATCAGTCGACACTGTTTGTAGATAAATACGTCTTTGTCGATCACACTGGTCGCTGGTATTGTAAGGCAAGCAACACTGCAGGAACCGCTGTTAAAGAAGTACACATTCCATAGGTGTGTTAACGAAGTACACATTCCATAGGTGTGTTAACGAAGTACACATTCCATAGGTGTGTTAACGGAGTACACATTCCCTAGGCTTGTCTTGCCTCAGGATTTTGAAATATCTTATCATTGCAAAATCAATTTTATAACTGTATTAATTATTTTGAATTTTGCTCATAAATGCTGAAAACATAAATAGTTTTTTACAAATACAGTCGACTCCACTTGTAACGAACTCGATTTTCTGTATGAATATTAACCAAGCAATAACAAACAAATAGCAAAGAATACAATGGTAAGTACATTATAATTATAGACAAGCTCTACATGTCCAAATACATGTACATAATATATTGTTCAATAAAATGCCCCGCATAAAATTACCGCTGTCGTAAAATACCGATTACACCGGTGACAGGTATGTCTTTTTCATGGCGAATTGCCCACCTAAACAAGTCAGAAAGCATGTCATTGCTACATCGCTTTTAGCGAACTTCGGATATAACGAAAGATATTTAAATGTCCCATTAAATTCATTATATTAAGCGGAGTCGACTGTATAGGTTTCCCGCTTTTCAAAAATCGAGTTTGTCATTATCCATCTGGGTTATTCAGAAATCTACAAAAAGAAATCAATAGTGTTGGAATGTGGGAAGTTTTAGTATGAAGAGCAAGTATAAAGCTAAACTTAATGATTACTTAATTCAGGCCTCGACACTAACTTTTTTAGCAGGTGGTAAGCCGGACCACTAGATTTGAAATTTAGGTGGTCCTTCCGGAAGTCAGGTGGTCAATTATTATTACCATATCATTATTTTATTGTTTTTGAATTTTGACTCTTTGACTGCAGATTTAGAAAATAAGCTTTGAATTGATGACAAAGATTATTAACCTTTACAATAAAGAAAACAGATATATTTAGACTTTTTCATCTAAAGTGAAAGTGTACAATTTGCGCACCTCCTGCTGTTATTGTGCAGTCATAAAATCAAAGAAATATACAGTTGTATATTCCAGACATATATAATATACAGTTGCATATTCCAGACATATGGAACAGATTATTAATTAACGTTACAATATAGGCTTGAAATACATATCTTAAAGAAATTGGTGATGGTTAATTATAAAACAAACGAATTTATATGCGATATAAATAACGATTTTTTTTTTTATTGAAACGACTTCTCTCTCAACTCAAGTTAAGGAATAGCGAAACCATTTGTGTCTGCCTTATTTTCTTACTGTTAATCAAATATTCATTGCTGATACATGGTGCGTGTAACTCTTATAATATGATCAATTATCTTTTATAGATTAACATTTTTAATAAAACTATTAAATTATCTAATTCTTTTCTATAAAAACAAGGAAATATTTAAAGGATAAAAAAATGATACCAACGTTAAATATAACTATAGTTTAACTTATTTTTCTCAAAGCAGAATTTTTACCTCCTTGTTGCTTGTTGGTTGATATTTATTTTTGACATTGAGTATTTTTAACATTTTGACGTAATTTAACTCTGGAAGAAATGGATCTCTTATCGTTAAAATAAAGATAAGCAGCAAAGAAGTTCATTCCATTTTATTTGAAGCCATTATTCAAGTTTCTGAAATTTAAGTTCATCCGATATCCCATACAATATCATAATTATTAGCAAAAGCATCATTTGAATGAATTTTCTACCTAAATCAATATAACAAATTCTTAACTCTTTTAACTTGCATAAATAAGATTTTAGCGACTTAAAATGAAAATTATTGATGACTTAAGAACTTCTTGAACTAATCAGAGAATGAACCGTATACATGTTCATGTACAGGACAAATGATTTCAAACACCAAGTATATAACATGTTTTTGACCGAATCGCCATACTCCCAAATGAGCCTTGCACCAACCAGATAATTCAACTGGTCCAATAGACCAGTGTCTTTTAAAATTAGGTGGTCCTTGCCAACATCAGGTGGTTTCGGACCAACGGACCACCGCTAATGCCGAGGCCTGCTTAATTATATCAATAAATGTAGAAATGTGTTTATCTGTATTGATATTAGTATAAATAAGTGTAGTTCCATTTTTTTGCTCATATCAAAGTTGAGTCTATATTTTCATTCCTTTCATTTATATTTTGAAAAGTTGTTATCTTAATTAAAGGAACGCCACCGAGGTCCAATAGCCTAAAATAATAAATTTCGAAATTCTTTCTTAATTTAACTGGTCCACTTAAATTTGAAACCAAGCAAAAGATGATATATAAATATACACGGTATCAAATCGTCGTGCTAGTATAATAAGGTCCTAAGTGCCATTATGTAACATTGCGGGAAATCGAGCTTTAAATTTTAGTTAACAGAAAAATGTTACTGGACCATGTAATGATGGAGATTTTTTGAATGAATCATTAATATGTTCTATCATAACTTGCAAACATAGATTTTACACGATATCTTTAGAGATATTTTCTAAAACCGGATTTTTCATTTTGAGATACAGCTTTTCGCTTATTTGTACTTGCCGGAAGCTTAGAATTATGTTGCACCCGGAGATAGAGCGTTTTAAAACTGCCCTTGATAGTATGAACTAGGATATAGGATATTTTAAAACTAATAAATATGTTCAATTTTAATGAAAACAAATAGGATTATTATGGTATTTGTATAAACAAACTTAAAATTCTGGTCAATAATTGTATTTTTATCTTTCAGATACACATATTGATATAACTTGTGACAAAGAAATAAATTTGAATAAATTATTTCACCTGTTGGCATCAGTAACATACAAGTTTTGTAATAGATCGCAATAAACTACTTGTACTTTACCTGCATTGTGAATTTTTACAAAACTGAAACAAAAGATTTCAACACAATCACTTTAAATATTTATCATATAACTATAAGGCAATAGTTTTTCCAACCTAAAAAAATTCTGCAATATTAACGAACAAAAACACTTTATTCACTTAGTTACAGACAAAAACTGAATATAAAATCAACTCTCTGATAAAATGGAAATTTTAACATGTTTATCTGTTACTTTGTCTTGAATTAATTCTTGATTTTATCTCTCTCTGTTAAAAAGACCAAAATGTTAAAAAAATGCCCTCGATAGATTTACAATAAAAATGCAACAACTCCTGTCACAATTTAATAGGCAGCACATACTACAAAAACATAATGATAGATTGGAGGATTTGCAAAAACTTCTTTCACCTGAAAGAAACTTTACTCATTTTGAAAACTATGAAAGGAACAGTCAATGTAACCATTTGCAATAAGTTCTTTAAACTATATGTGATCCTCCTTTTCTGCCAATAAGAGTGAAAATAAAACAAAGTTTTAAAGGAACTTGATTGTTCACCTGATAACATTTGCATGAGAAAAAATATATACTAGTAATTGACAGTAGTTGATGACAAAATCTAATCGCAGGAAAGTTGTTTAAGTTTCTGCAATGTGAGACTTTAAGTTTTATTCTAGATGTGACAATTATAAAATTGGACTGTCTGAAATATCTAATGTCTGAAATATCTAACCAATATGTTGATATACAGTGACTGAGCGAACTAAAATCATTGGTAAAGTTTAAATGTTGAACAAGATGAATATTCATGGAATTAAAAATAGTTTAAGCCCACGAGCATGTTGGAAAATATTGTGGATGCCTCTATCGTTTAAGCTAAATGGAAAAGAAAATTCAAAATTTCTCATAAAAGGCAAAAACATTTAATGCGCGGTTGTGGAGTCTTTAACATGTTAGTGAAACACTGTCAAGTTTTTCTAATGGAAGAAATCTCAAAATAAACACTAGTATATGTTCTGGCATCTGCATTCAATGAAACACACTCTAATCTCTGAAACAATTAAAGTATCTCATACTACAACAACCGTTGGTTATATAGACGACAGTAAATTAAAACAAGAAACAACAACTATAACCGAAATTCAATCATCCGAATATATCCATAGTTCAAAAGTTATATTTTATAAAATTTATAACGACTTTTTTCACGATACCTTGTTAATTATTTTTGGATAACTCAAATAGATGATTAAAAATGTTTCAGAATAAGTACATTAGCCTTAAACAACACTGCCTTCCATTTATTGCCATGTTTTAGAAAATATTAAAACAAAATAAAAATTTTCTCTTTAGAATTACAATACCTTATCTCCAGGAGTAGTGTTTATAACCATTTATATTTTAAAGGCGGTAACCATATATAATGGCATTATCTCTTTTAAAAGAATAAAAGGTTTTGCTTTGACTTAATGGTAATATTTCCTACCAATTTATCAAATATGATACTAAAAAACTAACTTACTTCTGGTAGCCAGTTTAAGCAATGGTGTCAATGCTTTTTGACAAAGCAAAATCTGTCACATGACCTCGCACACAATCACTGATTGGCTCATGGACATAGAGCAACATAATAATTAATTCAACTATTATTTTCGAAAATGGAAAATGATATACATGCTATTATATCAAGCAGGGTAACCTCATGCATAAATGGAAACCACCTGGAGATAGATCTTTCAATTATGAATCCAGTGGTATATCATACTCAATTTTCATGAAAATGGAGATAGGACCTTATAATACTAGCACGACGAAATAGATACTTGATTTTATGCGAGTTTTGGCCGATTTGAGTGAAAAGTTTTGCAACGTGTTACATTTTTGGGGGCCAATTTGCACAATAAAATTGATTATTTCTGGGAAACGGAGTGAGCGAATGATCTAAAATTTCGTACATGAGTTATTGGTCTAGACATAAATCTAGTTATACAAAAATCTAAAAAAAAAAATTATCGGTCCCTTCATGTCAAAAAACCTCAGAGGAGTCCCTTTAACTGTGTGTTTTTTTTTGTTATTTTCAGGTATACTTCATACTTCCTCACTGCGACTTTCTTTTATTTTTGTTGAAATTGTAGTATTCATACTTTACTGTAAACATTGGAAAATAACAATGTAAACTAAAATATTGAGTTCGTCATTATATTCATTCTTTTCTTGCAGATTTAT